GAAGGAGAATAAGAAGAAGTACCAGAAGAAGAAAGGTGCAGTAGAAGCAGAAGCAGAACCAGCAGCAGCAGCAGAAGGAGAAGTAGGAGGAGGAAGAGGAGGATGAGGAGGGAGAAGAAGAAGAAGATAAGAACAAGAAAAAGAACCAAGCAGGGAAGAAGAAGAAGAAGAAGAAGAAGAAGAAGAAGAAGAAGAAGAAGAAGAAGAAGATGAACCAATGTTTGGCAGTGCCAATTACTAATAGTAGTAGTATCTCCTCCACCTCAATCGCTTCTCGTCCTGCACGGCTATGTCACATATCTCAACTCAGGGATCCATTCTCCCAGTCAAAAATGCATCTCTCTCTCTCTCTCTCTTTCGTTGTCTGTTTCTGTTTCTGTCAAGAAGGAGAGAAGGAAGAGATGAAGAAGAAAACAAACGTCTCTCTCTCTCTCTCTCTATATCTTTCGTTGTGTCTGTCTCTGTTTCTGTCAAGAAGGAGAGAAGGAAGAGATGAAGAATAAAACAAACGTCTCTCTCTCTCTCTCTCTCTCTCTCTCTCTCTCTCTCTCTTCTACTGCCTCACCTATCCTAACCACGGAAGGAGCACTGCCTATATCTCTGCAATCACCGATCAACGGTTGTAATCTACTAGCACAATCGATCATACCCACTCTGGAATCAACGGTTGCAGTAGTAGCATTATGTTTGCCTTGGGGGTTGTCAGGGCGGCCTTGTTCCGGGTTGTCAAGGCACTGTGGAGGTTGTCAAGGCACTGTATATATACAATGCCTTGGGGGTTATCAAGGCACTGTGCGAGCAGAGCAGTGATTTATCAGGCGAGGTTGTCAGGGAGGCCTCCCCTTGTCATTCTTGTCATGGTGAAAGTTATTTTTCGGTGCTGCGCCTTCTTTTTTTCCTTTTTTTTTTTCTGTCATGGGTCGGAGCGCCTTAGGTCCTACGGCGGCCCATCCTGCTCACATGTGAACTCCCATTGACTCATTGGATGTGAGGTGTGGGTGCGCAGAGCAGGCATGCAACAGTGACCTGTGTGCAGGCGCAAGCATTATCAAACAACAAGACAAGAAATGAGATTGACGAAAAATGAGAGTTTTCCTTTGGTGAGCTTGTTGAATCACCACTAACATATTCGTGGCAACTTTCTGCTATCGGTGGTACCGTACCATAACGGCTGGCACCACCAGCCCCCAAAAAATAAAAATTGTGCCCGCACCCATTCGTTTTCTTTTTGGCGGGCCAGCTCCATTCGTTTCTGGAATCGGAGGCTCAGAGGTAGTGGTGGTTTAATGACTATGTACGGTGTGTGTGTGTGTGTGTGTGTGTGTGTGTGTGTGTCGTCTCGATAACAGCTGTGTGTGTGTGTGTGTGTGTGTGTGTGTGTGTGTGTGTGTGTGTGTGTGTGTGTGTGTGTGTGTGTGTGTGTATTTGGTCCCCTGTGGGCTGGGAAATAATTCGCCGTCGCGTCATTGTGTGATCGGCAGTTATGCAGGGGTCGTTTGTAAGGGGTGAGGAAGGAGGATGGGTTCTGACATAGGTTATAATGCCTGTCTGGTGTTGTTTATTTTTCCTTTTTTTTTTCTTTTTCTTCTCTTGGAGTATTTTTTGTTAATCGACAAACGCGTGAGCAGCCCCAATAGGTTAAGCCATTGGATTACCATGGTTACGCCGGACGCGCACACTGGACCCGCAGCTGCAAAATTTTATTACCATGGTAATAAAATTTTGCAGCTGCAGAGACTAGAGTTCAAAACTCAGCAGCTGCAAAATTTTATTATCATGGTTACGCCGAACCTGGACACCGGACCAGTCCAGACGTCCGGCCGGACCTGTATCTGGACTGCTCCAGACCGTCCGGAGTTAAAAAAAAAAAAAAACTTTTTTTTTTAATTAAGAAAACGTTTTTTATTTATATTTTTTTTCCTTGGATTTGGCTACGGATTTCGAGATGGTCCTCGGGCAAAAGATCTTTGTCTTGGAACGCTCTGCACAACATATCTTTGTTTTCTTTTTTTTGTTTTTTTAAGTCGGATTTTTTTTGGGGGGGGTGGGGTATGGATCCGGTACTCTGGACCGGACATCCAGACCCCGACCGTCTGCACTGCGGTCCGCACCGCACGTGTGGATTGTAACCATGATATAACATTGGGCGACGACTCCAAAACCAAACGCATCAGGTGGGTTTTAAGTTGTGCTTTTCTTTCTTCTCTAGATGGAAAAAAGGGGTCTGAACCTGGACATTTAGACTTGGCCTTGTTGTGCTTTTCACCGTGGTCACGTCTTTGGCATGCCAGGCTCTCATCGTCGCTGTGGAATGTCACGAAGAGGGAGCAGAAGAACCAGGCAGACAGTGCCCGAATGACGTGGAGGGGTGTCCACTGCCCATGCAGTACAGGTTCACACGCAGACCGCTATGCCTCAAGCTCCAAATTGTTGAAAAGCCGCCGTACTGCAACTGTCAGAGGCAGCAGGATAAGAATCTTTTGTGGCCTGCGGATGTTTTATATGGGTCACTAGAGCACTAGAGAAGAGGGATCCTATCCATTTTTTTGGGTCAGTGGAGGCTGCCACTTTCTCCTCCTCCCTTCCCTCCCTTCCCTCCCTTCCCTCCCTTCCCACCCTTTCCCCCCTTTCTCTCCTGATCCTGTGTCCTTCTTAGGTTCATTATCCTTCATCCAAGCTCCCGGCACTGTCCTTGGCTTTGAGTTTTTTTTTTGTTTTTTTAAGTTGTGGAGTGGCACTGCATCTTGCCACAAACTTATCTATAATACGTTCAGCTTGACGTGGACTACTATCAGTGGGTTGGGAGTTTTTGTTATTTATGATGTTGTTCCAGATCGTGTCGGCAAGGCGTCGAGGAGGGGCAATTGCCCCCCTCAATTGTCCTTGCATCATGCCACGTGGTGGCGGCTATGCGTCGCTTCCACGGATGATGCTGACTGTTGGCCTGGTTCTGCTGCTTTGCTTGAGTTTATGTAGAAGTGAGGCCAACAGTGGCAATGATGATAATGACGACGGCGCCATTGAGGTTCCCCCTTTCAGCTACTTTGTGCCTCCAGAAGAAATAGGTGATCACCCTGCTTTAAATGCCATTCTATACTACCAGGATTTGCTCTGGGCCGCCGATCCAATTTGTGTAGATCCCCCCTGTGAACAAAATGTCAACGATGAGGAAGAAAGGTACCTCCTCAATGGGTATTTGGATGAGACATTGCCCTCCGCCGGTCCCAATGTGCTCTCATCATCAGCATCTCCGTCTTCTTCTGGATATAAACCGCCCGCTTCTCGACCATTGTTATCAGCCAGTGCAGCTCCATCGCAAGAACCTGAGGCATCTAAGGCGCTGCCGTCACAAGCACCCTCTTATCTGGTAGAGTCCCAGCCCCCTCCACGCCCAGAACCTGCCGGGCATCGTGGGAAGCCGACCAGTTTGGACGACGAAGCGATGCTCGCTGAAGTCATCATAAACTCTGATTACGATAACGACACCGTCTACACTCTGACGACTGATATCGTTCTACGGAGGTCGTTGCCGTCGATTCGTTTCATGAGCCATCTCACAATCCAAGGAGCTTGCAATCGAACTGGCGGGCAATGTATCATCGATGGAGGCGGCCGCTTTCCTATCTTCACAGACGGGGCGAGGATTGGATGCTGGCTTACGGTATCGAACATCATCTTTCAGAATTCGCACGGTGCTGTCTTTCAAGGTGGTTGTCGGTTTGATGCAGTTAACTGCGCCTTCCGGGACAATGTCGGTTACATTGTTGGGACGTCGCCCGGTGGGGGGGCACTGCAGTTCGAGTCCGGCAGTCCTGCGTTTAACATAACGGGCTGCGAGTTTTCTAACAATTCTGCTGTCAAAGCCGATGGAGGTGCCATTTCGTACCGGGGCACAGATGGAGGTGTTGTCACGAACACGGTGTTTATAAATAACCGCGCCGCCCTAACTGGGGGAGCCATATTCTTGCAAAGTCCGGACACGTTTATCTGCAACAACTGCTCGTTCATCGGCAATTCCGCTGGCAGTATGGGTGGCGGGTTCAGTCTTTTTCGATACACGTCACCGGCGACCCTTATTCGTCTCATAGGGGGGTTGTTCGAGGGTAACAAGGTTGTAAAAGGGGCAGGGGGGGGGGTAGTTGTGGGGGCCCCGATCGATGCCAAATCGTGCAATGTGAAGTACACAGGCAATGCGGCGGCAATGGGTGCGGACGTCGTGGTGAACTTGCAGCCTGTGGAAGGAGTCGCTCGCTTCGCCTTCTGCCCGGAAGCACCGACTGGCGCTGTTGTCACCGACATCGTGGGCGATGTCACAAGCCCTGCCCTGACACGCTCGACCATTAGTTCCAATTGCACCGGTTGTCCCTTGCTCTCTGCTGTTCAGGTCTAATCGACAGCTGTGGGGGCCCCGATCGATGCCAAATCGTGCAATGTGAATTACACAGGCAATGCGGCGGCAGTGGGTGCGGATGTCGTGGTGAACTTGCAGCCTGTGGAAGGAGTCGCTCGCTTCGCCTTCTGCCCGGAAGCACTGACTGGCGCTGTTGTCACCGACATCGTGCGCGATGTCACAAGCCCTGCCCTGACACGCTCGACCATTAGTTCCAATTGCACCGGTTGTCCCGCGCTCTCCGCTGTTCAGGTCTAATCGACAGCTGGGTTGTGAAAAGCTGTGGCAGTGGGTGCGGATGTCGTGGTGAACTTGCAGCCTGTGGAAGGAGTCGCTCGCTTCGCCTTCTGCCCGGAAGCACCGACTGGCGCTGTTGTCACAGACATCGTGGGCGATGTCACAAGCCCTGCCCTGACACGCTTGACCATTAGTTCCAATTGCACCGGTTGTCCCGCGCTCTCCGCTGTTCAGGTCTAATCGACAGCTGGGTTGTGAAAAGCTGTTCAAACTCCACCACCTCCGACGATGGGGGGGGTGTTGTTCCCCGCAACCCCCCCAACCTCCCCCCCAATTCCCCACCTAATGGGCATTAGGGAAGCCTGTTGGTGATGGATCACCCATCGCATCGTGGGTGGGGGTCCTCGTAATGGAAGGGAGGAGGAGCTGCAAAGGCAGGCAGAGGGGTGTTAAGACGCAACTGAGAAGATGGAGAAAGGAGAAATGGATTGCCAGATGATGGCATCATGATGTTATGAATGGGCTTAAAGTGGGCCCAATTTTGCCATGGGTCTTTGGCCATGGAGCCTGAATTAATAAGATGCATATATATTGGGTTGGAAAATGCTATTAAAAATTAAAATTCAAAACAGGACAGGCTTTGTGTTTTGTGTTGAGCGAGGAAAAAAAGAGGGCCAGTTGTCTCTCTGCTGTTGGCCAGCGACTAGATCAGCTGCCAAGTAAGGTATTGTTTATGTGTTTGGTGAGGAGGAGGGGGGGAAGAGTATGCCGGTGAGGGCAGGACTCACTGCCACAGGAGCGATCACAGCCGCGGTTGATGAAATGGCATGGGCTGGTGGGTGGCTTAATGACCTGCTGGGGTACGTAGGCCACCATCGTATCGCATTCTTGCCTGCCTTTTTCTTTCTCTTTCTCTTCCCATTGTTCCAATCTGTTTCGTCGAAGCCTTTTCAAATGCTGCCATGGTCGACGGTGATTGCGATAGCAACCGGACTCCATATTCAGTAGCATACGCCCGTGGTCATCAAAATAATGTCATTCTCATCGAAATGATTCGCTCAACTATCGTGAAGAATCATGAAGGTCGAGAACAATCAGTCCCCTTGTGACTGATGCCAAAGCCCTTGTGCTTGGCAAATGGAGGTAGCAAGAAGAAATTCCTGGTCGAGAACCCCGTGTGAGTCCGGGTCGTCAGAACTTTTTTTGTCGTTTCAGGACAATCGTGGAGGGCGAAGAACAGCTCCCTTGCTCTCTCTCTCTCTCTCTCTCTCTCTCTCTCTCTCTCTCTCTCTCTCTCTCTCTCTCTCGCGTGCTCGCTCGCTCACTCCTCCGATGGCGGCAATTGCATGGGATGATTCCATGTGAAACAGATCTGGGCAGACCCGCGTCACGTGTTTTGAAAGGCCTTCCGATGTTTTTCTTCAGCTCTATTATGTTTTTCAATCAATAAATTGGGGGAAATGGGGCACCTGTCGCTAGAGATTGCCACTCTGGGGTTCACGGTGGCTTCATTAATCTCTGATCACCAGGCTTATAGGTGCCTGCTTACCTAGATAGACAGGCAACACTATTTTGAATGGTTTGGCTTTCTCGACGTTGTGGACATCCCACTTCAGTTTTGTGGACAGAAGGCTTCGTAGACAGCATACTCTCGCCTTTCTGTTGTTACGCAGTATTGAATTTTTTATTGGCTTGTGAGTCAGACCTTCATTCTCGTATGAAAGTGGGTCTTTTGCCATTGATTGTTAATATGTTATAGTACGGATTTAATAATGCTGCCACCTACTAGTAGTGGGGGGATAACTGTTTGACTGCGCTCCTTTTCTTCCCCATCACGACTATTAGAAATGACGACTAACGTAAGGAGTCTTTCTGACTCTTCCATCCATTCCATGCTATTGGGAGGAGGTCCTGCTGGACTTCGCGTATAGAAACGACTAGAGTGTTTACGATCGTACCTGGTGCTGCTGCTGCCTCAGCTGCTGGGAAACTGCTT